CCTGGCTTTCCTTTGAAAATGCACAGAGTAAAGAGTAAACTAAGAGTTGGGTACTATAGCCGTGCTTCTGGGCTCAGGGAAGAGGTGAGATTATCACATAAAACAAGTGGATTTAAAAAACTTCAGGTCACAGCTATTCACATCTTCTTTTGCTCTACTCCATATTAAGATGGATATATCACTCATATTCTTCTTTTAAAGATTTATGTATGTTTACTTTAGATGTCTGTGTGTTTTGCCTGGATGTGTGTATATACCACGTGTGTGCCCTGTGCTGGCAGAGCCAGAAGAGAGGGTTGGATCCTTTGACGCTTGAGCCGTCCTGTGGGAGCCGGGAACGGGATGTTGGTCCTTTGGGAGAGCAGCCTGTGCTCTGAACCATTGAGTCATCTCTCCAGCCCTCAAGTTCTTAAAACAGGCTTTACTTTTAAGATTTCCGAACAGCTAAATAGTTGTATGAACTCACATGTTTTGTGGGCGCTCAGGTCCCAGACCAGGACGTAATGCTGCAGATTGAGAGAGGGCAGTGCACTGAGGTCACAGTGATCAGCTGTTCAAGCCGTCCCTGCCATCTTCCCATCACTGTCTTTAAACGCCATACCCTTCAGGTGATGTCCTGCTAAAGACGGCTGCTTTCCAGCTTCCCTTACAACTAGGCAAGGCCAGCAAGGAGAGGCTGCAGGAGGGAAAGCTGGGCTGTGTGGGCTGTGTGCCACCTTTTCTGACCCTTACCCTATCCCTGTAAAGAGTCGCAGTCGTCTTTCCCACTGGCAATCTCAGCCACTCACCCAGGAGAGAGGCTGCCCTTTGCTGTGTGCACCCATAAACACAGTCTTCTGCTGAATGCTTTCTCTCTCTCTCTCTCTCTCTCTCTCTCTCTCTCTCTCTCTCTCTCTCTCTCTCTCTCTCTCTCTCTCTCTCTCTCTCCCTCTCCCTCTCCCTCTCCCTCTCCCTCTCTCCCACCTGTACCTTTTACCCTGTCTCAGATTCTAACATACGGTACTGAAACCCAGGAAAGAAATCTGAGGTTCACAAGTGACCCAAGTCCTCTTCCACACGGACAGACCTCCATTACCCTTATCCATGGGGCTGGCAGGGTCACCCATCTGTCTCAGACTGCCATTTTTTCCACTCTGTCTCCATCCTTCTCTCTGCTCACTTTTCTCTGTCTCTCTCTGATACTGTGTGAGCTTCTGACAGGAGACCGTACTCAGACAAAGTCATGCGGGCAACACACCCAAATGTCTGAGCAAGGTAACCCACGGCCCTAACTCAGAGGCTCATCTTGTCTCGAGACTCACTTGGTCAAAGCTTCCGGGGGCTTTTCACCTACCGAGGGATACTCTGTCATCTAATTCACGGCTTTGGAAAGTTATTCAAGATATCCAATGGTGTTTTTTTTTTTTGAAACCTTGCTAGACAATCCTATGAAAATGATGCTGTATGATTCTGTTTCTCTTTTAAATTGTCAGTTAGGTGGTGACTCTGACTTAATTTACAAAGCTTCCAGGTGCTTTTCTTATGCAGGAGTCTAATATAACAGAGGGATAATTAGTTACCATATGATTCTACAGAACATGGTCCAGCCAGTTGTACAATTGCATTTAACCTTATGTTAACTTTATATTTAACCTTCTATTGACTTATGGTAATCTAGATGTTAAAAAATGTCCTCATTAACTCTCATGTTCCCTACTAGGTTATACCTTCTGGCTTATGCTCTGGATGTTTGCCACGCGATACGTTTTCTCGTGGCCTTGGATGGACTTTCTGGTGCGGCCCTTCTGCATTTCTACTTCTTCAGCCGGAAGAACTTACAAAGAGATTGCTGTCCCCTCCCCACCAATAAAAACCCTGAAAGAAGTTCCGGTGACCTCCGAAAGTGGGACTAACAGGCCATGGGCCACCCAACTCTTTCCTCTTTTTGCCACTCTGACTCAAAACTCAAACAGCTGACCTGGAGCCTTCTTTGGGTCAGTTAGCGTTTCTGTCTCACCAGCTTTTAAAATACCTTAGAAAAGTGTCAGATCAGCTCAACAGCCTTCAAGATCAACTCGATTCTTTGTCTACCACTGCACCCCAAGACTAGATCTGACTACTACTGGGATTTGAACTCTCCTCCACCAAGGGTGCTGCTTCCACCCCAACAAATCCCAACTGCTTTGAGATGGGGCCTCAGAGCCAGGGACCAGACAAAACTCCAGCCCCAAGCCTTCTCCTCTGTGAGCTTCTGGTCCCTCCTACCTGGCTCCTCCTCTGTGTCGCTTCATTCTTCCTCAGTGTCCCCATGCTTGTGTTTTTACCCTGTCTTTTAAACGGTTACTCACTGAACCCCTATGTCTTAGTTAGGGTTTTATTGCTGTGAAGAGACGCCACGACCACCGCAACTCTTAGAAAACATTGAACTGAGGCTGACTTACAATTTCAGAGGTTTCATCCATTATCATCATGGCAGGAAGCATGACAACATGCAGGCAGATGCCATGCTGGAGAAGGAGCTGAGAGAGCTACATCTTGATCTGCAGGCAGCAGGAGACAGTACCACACTGGGCACAGCTTGAGCATAGGAGACCTCAAAGCCCGCCCCTACAGTGACACATTCCTCCAACAAGGCCACGCCTCCTAATTAGTGCCACTCCTTATGGGCCAAGCATTCAAACACACGAGTCTATGGAGGCCATATACCTTTTCAAACCACCACACCATGTATCCCCCCAAATGTCCCACACGGGCTCTCCCAGTGACTCTCACCCTACAACAGATGCGTTTGTTCCTCATGCGTCTGCAGAGACCCCGTAGAAACTCTGGCTGCAAGGAGCCTTCAACCCTTAACGCAGGTCCAGTCTTCTCGTTAGTCTTCTATTTCTCGTTTCCTGCCTTCTTTGCTCTGCAGCTCCCTGTGGCTTCTGCCAGCTCACTTTGGGGCAGCGCTCCTGGCAGTGGGACCAGTCACCGTCACCCCGAATTAACATTGTGCCCATTTCCTCTCACGGTTCACTCTGTCTCTCCCTCTGCTACCACCCACCCTCTCTCCACCTCCCCAGAAATCTCTCAGTTTTACTCTGGCCAGCTCATCTGCTTACAGCCTTCTAACTCATTTTTCAGAAGTCTCTCCAAGAATGCAGGACGGCAACTGCATGCTGATGAAGTTAAAACTCTTCTCCTGCTAACTGACCAGAGGAACCCCGTCCCCACCCTTCGGCAGACCCAGAACCCCCCTCTGACGACAATTCTCCTCAGCATGAAGTAGCTAAGAAAGAATGTACATCCCCATCTTACATACCTCTCTTGGGTTTGGAATGGCATTGTCCTGCTAAAAGATAGACTTCCCATCTTTTCTTACAGCCAGGCAAGCTAGGCAAGGAGAGGCTACCGGGAGGAAATGTGGGACACAAGCTGTGTACACCACGGGCTGTGCACCATGAACCGTCTGTCGAAGCCATCTTTCTCCTGTGGCAGCAACCGTGTGTGTGGGAGAGAGGCTGCCTTTGAGTGTGCAAACAAACATGGTCCTGTCTGCTGGAAGGTCAAGTCCAGTCTCTCTCTCCTCCTATCCCTTTTAAGCTGCCTCAGAAATCTACCCTTCCACAAGAGTCCCTTTGACAGCCGGGAATCCACATCTGTCCTTGAAATGATCTTCGTGTCTGTCTCTCCCAAAGGAAAGGAAGCTCCATGAGGTCAGGGGTCAGGTCTGCTTTAATGCATCGTTTGGTCTCTAGCTGTCGGCCCAGGATTTGGACCTCTGCCAATAGTTGGTGAATGCTTAGCTGAAAAGCAAGGACGTTCCTGAATTTGGTGAGGAAAGGAACGGAAACTCCCAGGAATTAGCATTCTCGAGACTTAAAGACAAGTATTTTAATCCAAAGGCTGACTGTGTAAATGGGTAGCAACCTTCTCTTTGAGAGCAGGCTGAACTGAAAATTACTGTGAAAGATGCTGTGAATGGCTGATTCACTGTTGTTGAACAGATAAACCTACAGCTGGCTTTTGTATGGACGCCAACTTCCTTCTTTCCATTGGAGGGTGGAAAACGGAGGGAACGGAGTGGACTTGACTGAGAGTTACTTCGTTCTTCTCCCACTGTTGAAACCACCCAGAACTCCCAAGCCGCGCTGTTTTGCTGTTATTGTTTTTCACTTTCTCAAAGTATTCATTTAGTGTGTGATATAGTATATAAACACAACCTTCTCGTCCACATTCTGTTATTTGTACATACGTTGTCAGGGATGAACATTCCATAACCAGTTGGCACGCTCTTCCCTAGAGAAGGCTCTCTCTCCTGCTCTCAGCATTTCTTAGTTGCCGGCAGCTCTTTGCTCACTTTACTAAACCTGAGTAATTCCTAACTACAGTCTAGATCTTATCCTTTTACCACAGATAAGCATGGCTCTCAACCCTCTCAAAACCTCTCTTTGCAACAGACAAAGACAATTGCAGAAAATAACAGACGACCCAAAGCAGAGTTTCCCAGCCTAGTCCCAGCTGATGTACCTACAACACAAGCCATGCATCTTCACACCCAAGGCTCAGAGAGCATTGCAGGAGAGAATCCAGAAAGATTGTGAGAGCCAGCGAAATAGGGAATGTTCTGGGAGGGGGTGTCTCCTGGGAATGTCAGAGGCTAGACCCATGAGGTCTCACCAACATGGCTGCCTAAATAAGTCCTGAACAAAGGGAACACCAACAGACCTGTCAACATGGAAGCAGGGAAACTTGGGAGGCAGTTAAGGTGGGCTTGCCTTAAACCACTCCAGAGAGATGGGCAAAGTAATAGTTGCCTTAATGAGATCCTGAACGTTTCCTTCACAGAAGTCTTGCCCCATTGCATAGTCCCTACAAGCCACCACGAGGTCGTTACAGGGTTTGTTGGATCTGCCCACCTTTCTTATTTGGAAAGGTGCAACTTTTCTTTTTCTTGTTTTTGTCTCTTTCTTTAGTATTCTTTTCCTGATACTTTGAATTTCCTCTCTTCTCTGAAGCTGCCTCCTTATCGCATTGCTACCTACTCCAAAGTGGCTAAACTCCTTGCCAATTTAACTCAAAAAGTTAGAAACAAAAACAAGCATGGCCTTTCCCTCCTTCTCCCCTCCAAGCCCCTCTTCTGGGGAGTTGTTGGGATTTAAAGCTTCCTTGCCCTGGGGTATATTCCTTTTACACACTGACAAAATTGTTCTCAAGTCTTTTTTAAAATTCTTTTATTAATGAGACTAAGAACTAGTGTGTGTGTGTGTGTGTGTGTAATTTCCCTGGTATCATATGGCCCCTAGTAAGGGATTCCCCCAAATCTCCTGTCACGAGGTTGGTGGTAAGCCTTTTCTAGCCGAGCATCTCCCATGCCATGTTTTATTGCTTTAACTCAATAGCATGGATCAACCACTTGGAAATTAGGAAATAGGATTTCCTTTTGGTCTGTGGCCCCACCCTTGTGGATTTAGTTCCTCTCCTTCTTTCAGGATGGTGTCATTTATGGGCTTCCTCTTCAACACTGAAAAGGAAATCCAAGATTTAATTCTTTTTCTGCCCAAGGCTTGACTCAGTGACAAAACTATTATTTTAAAAATAAATATTGAGTGGAGAAGTAAAAATTGGAATCTGAGAGAGCTAAACTTTTTGTAGTTCATTTTCATCCAGTTTTCTTGGACAAATATTTGTTGCAACTCTGGTGCAGAGGACATTGTGCTTGGTCTTAGCAAATAAAACAGGCACAGAAGCGAAGTTGTAGATATCAATGTGAGACAGACAGGCTGGTGTTAAGATAGAAATATGAAGGAAGTCTGTGTAGGAGGAAGAAGAAGGCAGAAATTAATTCCAATGTGGGGATTTTGGAAGATGTTGGGAAGGTTTTAGACCTTAAAAAATAAAATTTTAACTATAGTGTAGGCATAATCTGTCCTTCCAGCCAGCTCCCAAATAATCACACAGAGACTTATTATTAATTATAAATGCTTGGCCAATAGCTTAGGCTTGTTACTTACTAGCTCTTACAACTTAAATTAACCCATATTTTTTTTTATCTATGTTCTATCATGTGGCAGTACCTTTCTTTAACATGGCATGTTCATCTTGCTTCTCCCTAAGTCTCCTGATGAATCCACCCTTCATTGAACATCCAAGTTCTCTCTCTGTCTGCAAGTCCCATGTAACCTCTTCCTGCCTAGCTATTGGCCATTTGGCTCTTTATTAGACCAATGAGAGCAACATATCTTCACAGTGTTCAAAAAGAGTTATTCCACAACACAATGGGGCAGACTTTAGTGAGCTTGAAGAGGAAGAAGAGGGAAGCCTGGACAGTAGGGTGGGGTCACAGAGAATGCTGTAGAAGTACTGAATAATACCCTGTACTCAGAAGTGCTCATGTAAACAGACAACATGATCACTCCACGGTATGGTTGAGTGGAAGGTTTTCATTGTAGATATGGGAGAGAGGCTGTCCAGAGGCATCTGGAAGAGTCCAGAGCAGAGAGAAGGCAATAGACTGTACTTGGCCATGAGAGAAGCAGGAGGCAGTGCAGAGAGGTGGTGGGGAGTGGTGGAGACCAAGAAAGAGGGAGGGAGAGAGGGAGAGAGGAAAGGAGAGAGAGAGAGAGAGAGAGAGAGAGAGAGAGAGAGAGAGAGAGAGAGAGAGAGAATGAATTGAAAGAGCAGGATTATAAGGAGAACGAGAAGCTAGGGGAAGAGAAACCTGTGAACTGGAGGGAGTTTAGGATAAAGGAGGAGGTGAGAAGAGCTGGGATGCTAGCATGAACTCTGAAGTGTAACTGCTTCAGCAGTTGGGATTTGGAAGCCTACTTGGGTTTGACTCAAGTCTGTATTTCTCTTGACTAGTGGATACCCAGGAGCCAGCAAAGTAGCTCAGGAAAC